CGCCTCGTTTCGCCTCTTCGTTCCTTCTTCCGTTGCCCCTCTGCCTCCCCTTCCCTGGCGGTCGTGCCTGCCTTTCCGCCCGTTTTCCTTTCGTTCCTCCCTTTCCCGCCTTCTCCCTCGTGCCTCTCCCCCTTTCTCGCTCTCCCCCCGCTTTTCCTTCCCCTGCGCCCCCTGCCTTCGGGCCGTTTCTTGGGGCGGCCTCCTCGTTCTCTGGCCCTGGCTTCCCCGCCTTGTTGCTCCTCGTCCCCTTGCGCCGCTCCTCTGTCTCCGGCGTTGGTCTTTCCCCGCGCTTCGTCTCGCCCCCTTTCCTGGGCGTCTCCCTCCTCCTTGTCTCTCCTGTGTTGGTTTCCTTCGTTTGTTCGGCTTTCCCTTCCCCTTTTGCCCCGTGCTTCCCCTTTCTCGCTTCCTTCCCGCGTCGCCCCCCCTCTTTCCTTTCCTCCCCCTTGTCTCCCGTTCCCTCCCCTCCGCTGGCCCTGCTCCCTGCCTCGTGGTCCTCTCCTTTTCCTTCGTTGGGCGTCGCCCCGCCTCCTTCCTCCGTTCCCCTTCTCTCTTGCGGTCCCCTCCCCTTTGCTCCCTGTCTCGTGCTCTCTCCTTTTCCTTCGTTGGGGCGTCGCCCCCGCCTCCTTCCTCCCGTTCCCCTTCTCTCTTGCGTTGTTCGGGTCCCCTCCCGTTTTCGCCCTCTCCCTTGTGCTTCCTTGTCTGTCCTCTGCTGGCCTTTCGCCCCCGGCCCTTTCGTTCTCTTTGTCTGCTTCCTTCGGCTGCCCTCCTGCCCTCTGCTCCTCCTTTCGCCCCCGGCCCTTCTGTCTCGCCTGTCGTTTCGTCGTTTTCTCCGTGCTGCTCGCCTCCCGCCTTTTCTTTCCTTCTGCCTCCTTCCCTTCTCTCCTGCCGCTTCCTTTTCTGCTGTCCTTTTCGGTCCTCTCTCTTCCTTTGCCCCCGGGCTTCCGCTCCGGCCCCTGCTCTCTTCCGTTTTTTTGTCCTCCTGGTTGCCTGCCTCTCCTTGCCTCCCCTTTCGCCCCCTGCCCCGGCCCGTTTTCTGTCCCTTGCTTCTCCCTCCTTTGCTCCTTGTTTCCTCCTCCCTTTCCGTTGGCTCTCCTTGCGTCGCCCTTTCGCCCCCGGCCCGTTTTCTGTCCCTCGCTTCTTCTGCCTCTTTCGTCCTTGCGCTCCCCTCCTCTCCTCCGTGTTTCCTTGCCTTTCCTCGCTTTCCCCTTTCGCCCCCCGCCCGTTTTCTGTCCCTCCCTTCCTCCCCCCCTTCGCTCCTCCCTTTCTCCCCCTTTCTTCGCCTTTCTCCCTTTCGTTCCCTTCTCCTTCTCCGTTTCCTGGTTTGCCTTGGCCCCCCTGTCTTTCGTCCCTTCCCCTTTCGCTCCCCCTTTTCTTCCTTCTTTTCCCGCCGCTTCCTTGGTTCTTTGGCCTCCCTCTCGTCCTTGCGTGGTCTGCTCTCCTCTTTTGGCTTCCCCTCCTCCCCTCTCTGCGCCCCTTCCCCTTGGTTTTGGCCGGCGTCTTTTCTTCTTTTCGTCTGTCCCCCTCTGGTGGCGCCTCCTGTCCTCCTTCCTTCTTCCTTTCGTTGGCCTCTCCTTGCCCCCCCTCTTGCTTCTTTCGTCTGCCCCCCTCCTGGTGGGGCCTTCTCTCTTCCTTCTTTCGTTGGTCCCCTCCCTTCTGCGTGTTCTCTCCTTCCTTTGGCTCCCGCCTCTCTTCCTCCGTGGGCGTGCTCCTTTCGCCCGCTCCTCCTCCCTCCTCCCCTCCCGCTGCTGGCTTTCCTTGTTTTCCTCCCTTCCCTTTGGCTTGTGCGTCTCGCCCTCCGTCCCCCGTTTCCCCCCCGTCTTCCTTCTTTTGTTCTTCTCCTTCCTCCGTTCCTTTCCTTGCCCGTTTGGTTGTCCCCCTCTTTCTGCCCCTGTTGTCCCCCTCTTCCTGCCTTTCTTCGCCCGCCCCCTTTCCCTTGTGGTGCCCTGCCCCCTTCCTCCCTTCTTTCGCCCTTCCTCGCGTCTTTCGTTTCTTCCCCTTGCTCCTGGGCCCTTTTTGGTTTGTCCGGCTCCCCCCCTTTTGTCCGCCCTCCTCCGTCCGCCTCGTCCTGTTCCCTTCCTTTCGCGGTGGCCCTTGCGCTTCTTTGGCCGTTGGTGTCGTTTTCCGCTTCCCCCTTCTGGCCTTCGCCTTTTTTGGTTTGTTGTTCCGTTCTTGGCCTGTTTCTGTGCCTTGCCTCTCTTTTGGCTCTCTTCCTGCGTGGGCGTGCCCGCCGTGTCCCCTCCCCGCTCTTCGCGTTCGCGGTCGTGTTTCTGTTCCCTTCTCCCCCGTCCTCGCCTCTCGTTCGCCTTCTGCTCCCCTTCCGCGCTCTCTCCTTCCGGCCTGCTTCTCCGCTTTTGGCGCTCCTCCCGTGCCTTTGGCTGGTTTCTTCCTTCCGTTGTGCCCCTCCTCTCTTTTGCGCCCCTCCCTTCCGGGCCTCCGCCTCCCCGTCGGGTTTGTCCTCCGCCCCTCCGTTCGCGCCTTTCCCTGCCTGTGCTCCTCGTCCGCTCCTTCCTCCCTTGCTTCGTCGCTGCCGTCTTCCTCTGGTTCTGTCTTTTGTTCTTTCCTGCCGGTTGTGCCCGTCCTTGCCCCCCGTGGGCGCCTGTCCGTCTTTTCC